TGGAGGTGGGCGTTTCGCGAGGTGCGTCACCTGCGTGTGGCATCTCAACCAAACTGAGCTGCCTTCATCCTCTGACTGCTGAATTTCCAAATTTGCGCGAAATGAGCTGCTGCATAAGCTGATATTGCCATGATTGAAAATCGATTGACTCGTTGATATTGTTACCGTTGATGTCAATAGTGACGAAATATTTTTTTCAAGCAAAATGCATTCAACTAGATAGCTAGCCAAATATAAAATTATGGTCGGCACCAATTCTCCGTTGCGAGTGTTCTTTAAACCTCCGCGATGAGAATGTCAATCGCTCTGGCGTGGTCATCCATAAAGTTTAAAATAGGCAGGGGCATACGCTGCTATTACTGCCATTGGAATTCGATTGTCTAGTAACAGCCATCTCAACTTAGAGGCACGCAAATATGCTTGGGAATTGTGAATAGGTGTGAGGGTGTTGGGGTGGATTTAGTGGTGTTACAAATCACCTATTTGCTCTTCTCCTTTTCGTATTCTCCCTACTGTTTCCAGCTGTGTAATTCCAGGGCGGTAGAGTTGTGGAGGTCGTCCAAAATAATCTGTGCGCCTATCGGCTCCACGCAGTCGACATTTCGCTTCAACCATCTGACTTCATGCACGAAATCAGCGAATCTGGTGCCACAGTGGTATTCCATACCCTCACCCCCCGGATGCGGCTTGCAGGTGACTGTGTTAAAATGCGTCAGACCTGCGTGTAAGCGTAATGCGTGAGCTTGACGAACGCGGTTTCGCAACGTTGGTTGAAGGCTGCTTACCTTGTCCTGTCGATTCGAAGATGGTCGGGCGTCGGCGTTGTGTGCGAACGAGAGAGTGGAAGGCAGATTTACTATTGCCCGGAACTTGAAAGTTGCATTTCCCTCTTACACACGACTCTTGCCGAAGAAGAAGCGCAATCAGCGTGCGGACCTGTGGAAGATGATGATCAGTTGGCGACAGAGATCATGGAATGCAGAATTGTGAGGGAGAAGTAGTGTCCATTCACCGAAATAAATGCGTCAATTTTACTGCTTAGCACGCCGATTGATGCTGTCTTGAGGTAAATATGGGAGCAAATTCATTAAGAATCATTAACCAGTGTAAGAAAAAGCCCAGTTTGTTAGTTGGAGAATCATGACGGCGTCTAAAACTACTTCTTTACCGATAGTGTGGTTTGGATGTCATGGTAGGATTGCTGGATCTGCGTGCGTGCTGTCAGCAACACCATAGCAGATATCGGTTGAGTGGATTGAAGTCGAGACGGCGGTTGTTATGTTTGCCCTGGTGTTCTTGTTGGTAGAACACTTCCGTATTTATCCAATTCACCCTCCCGATTCACGCAGTCGGTTCGAGTCCTTCGTGCATCGCGATGTTCACAAACACAGCATGTGGAACGAGGCCTCCGTTCTATTGTCCTGTGAATTTCTTCCTTCTGTGCCAATTATTGTGTTGTGATGGGCGTCTCTATGAGTTAGATGAACGGCAATTTACGGCTCACCTGGGTATCTCTAGTGGTCCGAACTTGGATTCAAGGTTACTCCTCATATCGATTCACCCATTTCTACTTTTTGGCAGAATTCACAAACCTGTGCTACGGAAAGAAGTTAGCGAAACTTGTTCTACGAAGAGTTGCTTCCAAAATTGCTGCTGACGCAGTCCTACAACAAGAGGTGGAGGATCGTATTGAGCCATTACACTTCGTTTATAGAGCGTTTTAGCCCCCTTAGACCCGACACTGCACACTTTGCAAAGAGTAATTGTCAATTCATCATATAATATTTGCCGCGTTGATGGAACTGATAACGCCGTGGTCGATGCACTCTCCCGGGCACTTATCCAAAGAATCTTTGGGATAGGTCTTGAGCAGTTAGCTGCGGTGCAGACGAATGACCCTTTCCTCCTGCTCCACTTAAAAACCAATTACTTGAATATCTCCATTCGCTGCAACACCTTGGTGTTTTGCGCCAACGTGAGCTTGATAACTGACCGCTTGGCTTGGCCTAGCGCTCATAAAGATGTTGGTTTATGGGCTTAATGCTGCATTCAGTGCGAACGCAGCAAAGTCCACCGACATGAAATTTCTCAACCAATATAAATGTAGCTAGACCTCTTCCGGCGCCTCGTGGTCTTACCTATGTCCTAACCTGCGTGGACCGTGTTGCTCGTTGGCCTGTTGCAGCACCCAACAAATATCGTGCCGCCGAACCTGTTGAACTCCTCTTAAGATGCTAACATTTTCGCACTACGGTTTATCATCCAGCATCCATGGCTTTGTTAAGCGTTTCCGTCGTCCATTAAAATCAACGGTCATTACTGAAGCTAAGTTGACTAACTCGGCTGAGTAATTAGCGTTGAATTTACCGGCCACTCACAAGAGGGTAAAGGAGGATATCGACTGCACTCCAGCAGACCTTGTATTTTGACGTCAGGCTTAGGTAGTAGCCTCTAGACTGGGAAATTCTCTTTTGGATCTGACAACGACCATATTAACGTAAAAAGAGGCATTTTGACCCAATGGGGGTTCACACTGGGGATGGGGGTCTTGATGCTAATAATGCCCAAAAATCTCGATGGCTTTTTCTGGTTTTATAAAGCAAAAATGGCACAATGCATGCAATGAATACGCAGTGTCCACCATTCTTGAACTTGTCGAATCCGAGATGATCTGTTATTGGCGCAGCGTACAGACAAGAGAGTGGAAGACGCCATGCTGTCCACTGTTGATAATCACGGCTCGGCTCGATGTGTCCATGAACACGTCGACGTGGTTACCACTCATGCAACCTGTAGGAGAATGCTCAACTAGGTTCCATGTTAATCACAGCTGACTCATTTCTAGTGCTAAGCACTTAAGGCGCTAGAATTTAGTAGTTGGTCAAACTTGTTCCTCAACAGAGGTGACGTGAAATCACCACGTCGCCTGTGACGGCGTGTGATTACATTACGACAGAGCAGTGTCGATCTATGCATAAAGGAAGTGCTACATTTGAGCAAAATGCGCTGTTGCATAAGCTAGTATTATTGCCACCGATAATCGATTGTCTCGCTAGCGATATATCCAGCGTTTCTAGCTTTAACCGTACATTTGCTTTCACGTAGGTAGTCGAAAAGAAACTAATTTTGAATCAAATGGCGAATAGGTCATTGCAATCGGGCAGCGGAACTACAGAACTGAATTAAAAATCCCCAGGTGCAACGTGGGTTATAGGTTTACAGATCGCGAACTTGCGAAATACGTGGGGGTTCCTAATCTCGCCGCTTACGAGCCATTAATCGAATTCGACAAGTGCCAAGATTTCCATTCACTCTATCACCACCAATTTACCCAGATCTCGGGAGACAAGCTTTAGCGGAAATGCCGCCAGTAAGGCCTCATTGATGGAGGCCCCTTTTCACAGACTTGGGTCCTCCATGTCCACACATATGCTTATTGATTTAAGAGAAGGCAACAGGAACCACGACCTGGCGTAGTTGCAAAAAGCGTGCCATAACTTGCCTCCATCTAAACACAAGGCCGGATAGTGCTACCATCACTGCTTTGCCAATTCAGAACCAACAAATTTGCCCTTCAAAGCATTTGCACAGGTCAGTCTGAGGAAGAACAGAAGTTGGGAGCCGCAAAGGAGTGCTGGAGGCAAATGGTGCGTTGTGTGATTTCGAAGGAATGCTTTGGATGACCTGATGATATAAATACGCAGATGTGGAGCGAAGTTCGGTGTTTGCATTCTACTTCAAGCCGTTTCTGGGTTGACAACCACAACAAAGATAATATCTGGCTGGTCTTTGATTGTGGTTTGTCTGGCCAGATCTCAATGACCTACCAGGACAGTTGCAACGAGCACAACTTGGTTACTTGAGTTTAAGCTGATTGAAATATTGACAACAT